CATCTGTAAGGGTATTGTATACCATAGGCTATTTCTGTGGGTTATTGCTGACACAGTGCTGCAGTTGTAGGTAGGAACCTTCAGTAAAAGATCCGGTTAGTATATTCAGTCAACTCTCCTCGGAAGTAGACGCTGCAGTGTTTTGCACTGAAAAAACATCTACTCAGGAAAATGAATTCACTGTAAATTTTGTGTTCACTGTATGTAACTATCCTGTATTAATGCATGGTATTATCAGTTTTAATATACGTTAGACGTAAGATAGTTTATTCAGTTTTAAACTGGAGCAAACTTTACTATGCGCTGTTCAGTCAAAGTTTATAGAGTGTAATTTATTTTCCTTGCCTAGGGTGAGCTTACAGAGGCTAGCAGGAATTCTGGCGGATAATTGTTTTGCAGTTTCAGACATTGTGCCTAGTGCAGACCCTCTTTCTATAGTGAAGTCCTTAGGTAGTTTTAGGAGAGATTTCCCTTTTTGTTGTTTTCTTTTTTCCTAAAGAATTTTACTTGAAATCCAAAGTACAAGGAAATCAAAATGACCGTATAGGGTATGTAATTTCAGTAGCCACGTCTTGCTTGATGTCATTTGTGGAAGAAGCTTCATAAATGGCCTGTAAAGTTCACGGAAGTCCCTTTAGTCATCATAAGCATGTGATTTTGGAATGTTATGGTTTGTATTCTTGCTGCTGTTTGCCATACTTACTGTGCTTACAGTTCTTTTAATTGTAAATGTTACTTATATTTTTGTGGTGTAAGGATTATAGTTGGAATTTTTAATATCGCAATATATTTTACTCAGAAATACTTGTTTGGAATTATGTAGCTAGTTGTGATGCTTTTGAGCATTTACCCTTTTGGTTATTGAAGAAATGATAAAAGTATATTTACTACCTTTTTTACTGCACCTCCAGAAATCATTTAAATGCAAAGGGCTGCATCTGGTACCATAATTATGAAAGTTACTGGTTTCTAATATACTGGGATTTAGTGAATACTGATCATTATATATATAGCAGTCCATAGGCATACGATACAAAAGCAAAATGCTTATAGTGTTAAGAGATTGGATTAGTTGGACAACTTTAAAGTCTAAGGCATTTTAAATATTTGCTGTTAGTTGAAGCCTTAAGTGTTACAGCTTTACATCTCCTAGAAAAGAAGGAATAAAAGCATACAGGGAACATTTTTTGTCATCTTATACATGGTGAGATATATATTGTAATGATCATTTTCAAGTGAAGCTTCTACTTCTGTTACATTCATAAAAAATCTTTTAAACTCTTCATTTTAAATTGGGACCATGTATATGTTCTTGCTTGTAGATGTCTAAACATAGCTTCAGTGTCTGGTGTTGGGATAAGTGTAATGCAAATACATGTAAGAGAAATTGTAAGACACATAGAGTTCTTTCTTGAAGTTTAGCTGGTTTCTGTCTTTAAAATGTGTTTAGCAGAAGTTTGCACTCAGCCTTCTTGGAAGAAGTAAGGAGAAGTGCATTTCTGCTGTTTAGTGCCATATTCTGATTTAGTACACTGCTTACCGAATGATTCCTAGGTGAAATCTGTGGCTTGTGTTCACTAGCAAAAAGTTGGACGTTTTTACTACAGAAATCATAAAGCAGCTTTTAATGCATGTCCTTTCTTTGTGCTCGGTGATAGAAGTGGTATTCCAAGTGATGCTGAATTACTAAAGGCTTCATTATTAACAAAAGAGATCTTAAAATCTCTGGTGTATCTTTTTCAGCAGTATTTCGCTGGGTTTCATATAGTCTGCATTGTTTCCAAGGCTTGTGTAATTACAATTTATCAAGAGACGTTAAGTTAGTGCCTGACCCCCTGTAGTTTGCAGGCGAGTAAAATGCGCCTTGCGCTGTTGTCACTGTACTTAGCGAGCAGAGATTCAGAGCTCCCTCTTCAGCCTGACTGCACCTTCCTTCAAGAAAGGCAGATTTGATACGTAGCTGAAAATGCTAAGAAAGATGAGCAATGACAGAACTTGAGGACAGACTTCTTTTCCTGAGAGGTCAATAAATGTTTCGGTATGGGCTCAGACTGAATTTGTTCAGTTTAACAGGATCTGTCCTAGACGAACTGCGACTGCTGGAAAGTATCTGCATATCTTATATTAATAGAAGAGTTTGTGGGACTGTCAGCACAGAAACAATTGCAACATTTTTAGGCTGTACCTAAAGTGTAAAATGAAGTCAGGCAGACATTTTTTGTGAAAATTGTTTGGTGCTCATTAGTGCTGTTCCTGATCTGGGCTAGTGCCTGTTGCCTGCTAGAGAAAGGGCCCTGCCTGCATGTTTTTTTCATGCTAATGGAAGTGATAACTCTTTAAAAGATAAGTACTGTATATGATATAATAATAGTTTTGTTTTCCTGCCACCCTTATCTACTTGATTTAAAGTTTGCAAATGTAAATTGAGGGTGAGGCTGTCCCAGCCATGTACTGAATGGCTGATTAGCTCCTGCTTTCTTCTAAAACATGTCAGTGCTGG